TAAACAGTTTATTCTTTCGTTTTTCAAGGACACAAGAAGCTGGTAAATATCACCTGTAAAATTATTTTTTAAAAGCCCATTGTAAAGCATCTGCTTACTGCTTCTGAATTTTTTTTTTTTTTTTTACTTTTTATTATGGATATTTCTAAACCAAAAGTAGGGTAGTATGGTGAACCGCCATATACCCAATCACCCAGCTTCAATCGTAAATAAAGCCAGGCTGTCTCATTTATACTTTCTATCCCCCTCCTTTCTCTGTGTACCTCCAAAGAATTAAGTTAAAATAAATCCCAGACACCATATCCTTTCATCCATAAATACTTCAACATATAACTCAAGAGATAACATTGTAACACCGTAAAAAATGAATTCCTGAGCCTGCCGAGTGGCGCGTTGGTTAACAGCTGGCTTGGGACCCCAGAAGGCCCCGTTCGGATCCCACATATGAGGGCCAGTGACACTGCCCTCCACAGCTAAGATGCTGAACAACAGCTCAACCTGGAGCTGGGCTGCCGTGAGTCACTGGTGATGGCGTAGGCTGCAGCCCCTGTGGCAGTGGGTTGCCATGGGCTACCGTGTGTAGCCAGCAGCCAGCGTGAGCGGCCAGCAGCCGCAGTGAGGGGCCGTCCAGAAGCCGGCAGTGACTGATCTGCCTCGCCCGGGAAGAGCGTAATAATGGTGCCACCTTGGGCCAGTGAAGCAACGTCCTCCACAACTAGACAGAAGAACAAAAGGACAGCAACTTGTCTGTTGCCCTTCCCCCGATTCCCCAGCACTGTTCTCATCCCCGAATTCCCCAATAAAAATCTTCAAAAAAAAAAAATGAATTCCTTAGTAACAAATATACAGTAGTGGTCAAAGTTAGCTCCTTGTCTTACAAGTGAATTTTTACAAATACAGTCATGCACCACATGATGACTTTCCGTCAAGGATGAACTGCAGATCCAGCGGTGGTCCCATAAGATTGTAATGGAGCTGAAAAATTCCTATCGCCTAGTGACATCAGAGCCATCATAATGTCATAGTGCAATGCATTACTCACGTGTTTGTGGTGATACCAGTGTAAACAAACCTGCACTGCCAACTGTATAAAAGTACAGCACATACAATTATGTACTGTGCGTGATACTTGATACTGGTATGGTAATAAGCTACTGTGTTACTGGTTTATGTATTTATTGTACTATACTGTTTATTGTTATTTTAGAATGAACTCTTGTCTACTTATAAAATAAGTTTCCTATAAAACAGTATGCCATGTTATGTCATCAATATCCTCACATCTCATGTTGACTGTATCTCTTGATCCCGTCATTTTCTCCTGTGCCTGATTTCATCTCATGTTTTGGATGGTGACATGCTGTACAGGCTTGTAGCCCAGGAGCAGCAGGCTGTCCCATACAGCCTCAGTGTGCAGTAGGCGACACCATTTAAGGGTGTGTGCGTGCACGCTGTGATGTTCGCACGACGAAATCGCCTAACAATGCAATTCTCTGAACGTATCCCCATCACATGACGAGTGGGGTTTGTTTTGGTTTGGTTTTTTACCCCATTCTCTCTTGAACTCACTCCAAATTTTTGTCCCAAACACCCGACCAAAACATCTTTTATTAAGGTCGCTGATGCCCGCTGTGTTGCTAATTATATCGGTCCTCGTCTTATTTGACATGTCAGCAGCATCTGACAGCATGTCACTCCCTCCTCTTTGAAACATTTTCTTCACTTAGCTTCTGGGGCACTGTTTGCTCCCTGTTATCCTTACCACGCTGTGCTGTTCTCTCTCCATCCTCTTCCCTGGTTCCTCCTCTTCTCTCTAACCTCTAAATATTGAAGTAGTCCAGGGCTCACTCATAGAACCCCTTCTTTTAGTCTACATTCACTCTCGGCAATTTTTTAAAGTCCTTAGTGGCCTGAAGACCCTGTATAATTTGTCCACCTCCCCTGTACCTCATGATCTAAATGTCACCCCATTTCTTATCTGCAGCCCAGACCTCTTTTTCTGAACTGCAAACTCATATCCACCTGCTTACTTGACATCTCCATCCAGGCATCTAACAAGCATCTTACACCTAGCATGTCCAAAGCTGAATTTCTGGTACCTGCCCCTTCCAACCGATCTCCGGAAACCATGACTCCATTCTTCCAGTTCCTTGGAACCAACTCCGATGTCTTAACACTCCTTCCTCTTACATCCTCCATCAAATCCATTGGCAAATTCTATCAGTTTTGTGCCTTGTGATATACTCAAAATCCAACCACATGTCACCATTTTCACCTCCTGTTACCACCCTAGAATAAACTACCATCATATCGTGTTGATTTCTGAAGTAGTCTCCTACCTGGTCTATCTCCCTCTGTTCTTTTCCCCACAGTCTGTTCTCAGTGTAGCAGCCAGAGCGACCCTGTTGAAACATTAAGTCAGACCCTGTCAACCCTCTGTTGAAAACGTCCCAGCAGCTTCTTATCTCGCTCAGAGTCCTAAAAATGATCTATGAGGCTGTGCATGATCCAACCTCTTGACTCCCTTTGCCTCTCTGGCCTCATTTCTTCTCGCTCGCCCTCTCCCTCTACTCTAGCCTCTACTGGCCTTCTTGTTCCTAAAGTACACTCCTGCCTCAGGGCATTTGCACTTGCTCTTTCCCCCAGGTATCCCTTCAGGTCTGTGTTCAAATGTAAGCCTGCCTTAATATCCTATTTATATAAAAAAGAAACCACGCTCACCCTGGTTTATTTTTTCCACAGGGCTTACCATTACTTGACCATATATATATATATATATATATATATATATATATATATATGATTTACTTATTGGTCTATTATCTGCCTTCCCCCAGAGAATGTAAACTCCACAAGGGCAAGACTTTGTTTTGTTCCCTTGCAAGTGCCCAGAACAGTGCCTGACCCACAGGTAAATGAATGTTTTTTTGTCACTGCTTTTTTGTTTGTTTTTGTTTATTAGAGAGCTCTTGTTTTACTGAAATCTGATCTTATCAGATTTCATCTTTTGTGTGCATTGTTGCAACTCGCATAGCTCCTAATTGAAAAGCTTCTGACATAGTTCCAACAGGACGTCTTCTCTATTTGAAGAAAGAATTAGTTCTCCATTCTGTAGGTTGAATCAAATCAGTCTTATAGGACTTAATTTTCACTATCTCATTTCTTTTTTACGGCCATTACATTTTGTGTTCTTTGCAATATCTCCGTATACTTTTAAAAGTGTAACTAAAAACTGGTCACACTCTATTAAGTGACTGACTAAAGCTGACACAGTGACACCTCCCTGCGTAGATATCATGGATCATGTTTTCCCAGAACAGTGGTGACAGTATTCATTCAGCTCCTAGTCCCTTTGTTTGGGTTGAATGTTTATCTTCATTTACTTATACATTTAGCAACTAACTTATAATTATCCCTGATGTTCAACTTATCTATGGAGTTGCTTTATCCTGATTAACCTAGAGCATTTTTTTGTTGATGAATTTTATATTTTATGAAATACTCTTGATCTGATTTTAGCTATTTGTACTGATTTCTGCATTGGTAATATAGCTACACACGCTTTCGTTTATTACTACTATATTGCCTGATATATTGTTTTTTCCTCTCTATTTTTATCTTTTGTCTCTTAGTTTGGCATAGCTCTAGTTACATTGGGTAGCTGTTTGGTTTTTTTAATATTCAAATATTAAAAATATTCTTGTCTTGTTTTAAAAATATTTTGGGGCCGGCCGAGTGGTGCCTTGGCTGAGTTGGCTTGGGATGCCAGCTCTGAGCAGCAGGGCCCCAGTTCAGATCCCACATGACAGCCAGTGATGCTGCGCCCTCTATAGCTAAGATGGTGAACAACAGCTTGACCTGGAGCTGGGCTGCCGAGCGTCGCCTGCGATGGCATAGGCTGCAGCCCCTGCTACAGTGGGCTGCTATGAGCTACAGTGAGCAGCTGGCCAATGGAAAGCGAGCAACTGCCTCACCTGGGAAAAGCGCAATAACACCAACATGGGCCAGTGAAGCGACGTCCTCCACAACTAGACTGAAGAACAAAAGGACAGCAACTTGTCGATTCCCCAATGATGTTCCCCTCCCCCAATTCCCCAATAAAATCTTTAAAAATATATATATTTTGGTTGTTTCAAAAATATTTTGGTTATGTTTGAACTTGGCACTATTTTTCTGTGCTTTATTTTTTCCCCCCTTGCCTATCTATAGTTATATTAATGTTTTTCCCCCCTCTAGTGATATGGACATCTTATTTCTTATACAATCTCTGATGGTTACCAATAACTTTTGAACATATCCGTTGACTTGACCAACATCTAGGTAATATCTACAATATTCCTTTCCCCTGTCTCCAAGTTTGGTGTTCTGTAGCCATACTTGGTCCTTCCCTCCTCTCCCTCTTCCAGTTTTACATGTGTGTGTAGTGGAAGGTAATCCAAAGCATTTTTAAGTGTTATTCTCTTTTAACAAATCAAAATGGCTTACTAGTTTTGTCTCCCACTCTTTGGGAGATTAGTTAAAACCATTGCTTTGTCAAACCTTTTCTGGGCTCCTACCATATTTCAGCCCAGATAATGGGCTCAGGGAGCACAGCGATGGACACCTTTCCTGCCCTAATTAAATGGGAGAGATAGATACACAAGTAAATGCAATTCAGAGAACTAAGGGCTCAGTTAGATGAAGAAAGTGATAATGGGGAACAGAGGGAGCTGGGAAAAGTTATCCCACCACATTTTGAAAATGACGGCGCTGGAGCCGACGCATCCACACTTTCAAAGGCTCCTCCACAGCTTCTCTTAGATCCCGCCAGCAGAGAACACCAGAGAACTTGAAAGCCGGGCAAGGTGAGGAAGGGGGCTCTCTTTTTTTTGTGCGACTTCGTTTCGCTCTCCCCGGCATGTCCCTTTTATTTTGGCTGCGCCTACAACTCCCAGAATGCAACGCGGAACCAGCTAGCAGAACCGAGGTCTGTGATTGGCGAAGAGCGCTGGGCCAATCGGAGGGGTTGTTGTTCCACGGTCCAGGAGAACCGGTCCGGGAGAGAGGAAGGTGGCAAGATGGTGTTGGAAAGCACTATGGTTTGGTGAGTAACTACCTTGGGGCCCCGTGAGGGGCGAGAGTGGGTCGGGGACGCGTGTCGCCTGGAGGCCGGGCGGGCCTGGGGTGGGAGCGGGGGTTGATGCGCGAAATGCGGCCTTGGGCCGGGGAGGAAAGCGCTCCAGAGACTCCCTGAGTCATCCCGGGGCTGGGAGCGGACAGGCCCGGGGGACCCCGGTTAACCCGCACCCCGCGGACAGTCATTGGCCGGCCGACACCTGCTGCCTTGCTCTGTTCCAGCGTCGTCTTCTTTAGAGCAGCCCCAGTTTTGTGTGTAATCAGAGTCCCGCTTCTCTGACTCAGCGTGGGAGCCTTTTGCCCACCTCTCCTCTTCTCAACATAATAGATGTTAGGAAGAGAGGCTGTGAATCCCTTCCCGGCCCATTCACGCGTCTCTAACTCTCCTACCTTTCCCTGTGGCATCTTCAGAGGTACTGTTTACAGAGTGTTTTCTGTGTGTCAGGCACTCATTTACTTTATCTCACTTAAACCTTACAACACTTCAGGGTAAATAGCTCTTCAGTTTACAGGTGAGGATACCGAGTCTCAGGAGTTTTAAATGACTTACCCAACGTGCTACAGCTAATTAAGTGGTGGAGCCTAGATTTAAACCTAGGACTCGCTGGCTTAAATGGTGAGCTGGCTGCCTTCATTAGTCTCAGACTTGGGCTGAGTGGCTACGATGAGTTGGATTAGAAGCTGAGGACACTGGCTTATGCAGCGTTTCAAGAGTTTCTTCAAAGTGTGAGCACAGAATATAATACAGAGTAGTACGCAAACACACAAATCGCCATTGGGATGAAACAGGGTTTTCTTTTGGTGGAGGATAGCATTGCCAAATAAAATATAGGATGCTCAGTTATATTTGAATTTCAGATGAATAATACTTTTGAATTTAAATATGGATATAACTATGTCTCAAATATTGCACGGGACATACTTGTACTAAAATGTGACTTGTTGTATATCTGAAATTCAAATTTAACTGGGAGTGCTGTACTTTTGTTTGCTAAACCTGTCGACCTCTGGGAGAGAGCATCTTAGCGGAGAAAAGGAGGCAGGGTTTGGAATCCAGAAACTTGTTTTTAGGTGCTTCCCACTTTGCGTGTTCTTGAGAATGTGGTAAATCTACATAGAAAATGGGAACAATAGTAACATCCACTCTCCTTATAGCACAGGTAGGTAAAAATATATGTGATGGTTCTCTGTCAGCTGTGTAGCACTGGGCATATGTTAGTCGCCATAGCACTTGAGGAGTCCTCAAGAAAGAATTTAGTGGGGCCTGAAGGGACTTAGACAAATGTTGGGAAGGAGAGGCCTTTAGTTAGGAGGAGGGGGGTAAACCTGCTATGATGTAAGTGCTCAGGGATTAGGAAATTGACTAGTGTGACTTCATTATAAGGTTGTTGATTTAAGGTGTTTCTTTTCTTTCTTTTTTTGGAAACGTAGATGGGACCAGGTAGAAGACCACAAATGTAAAGTTAAAGGTGGTTGAACTCTGCCCCGTACCCTTCAACAGAACTGCTGAAAAACTTCTGAGGGTGATGGAGGCAGAGCTGCATACAAAATGGTGTTTAATAATATTGATCTGGCGTGGTAAAGGAGGAAAGATTGGCCCAGAGGGATAGGTTGGTGGCTTACTGTGATAGCCCAGGCACAGAATAATGATGAGAGCTGCTCCTTTTTTCTGTGTGGCCTCATGCTTTGCTTTCCTCAGAATTCTCTGGAGTTTATTGAAAATTGCAACTATTTGACTATGGTTGAGCTGCTTGAGTCAGACGCCCAGCCGGTGAACTCCAGGCATCTGTGTTCTTTTTTTAAATGAAGACTTTATATTTCAATAGCTGGATAATACCTCAGGCCTTATTTTGATAAAAATTTTGTTGGGAAAAATTACATACTGTTGTGCAAAAGTACTCACCAGAAATACATATATTAGTTCAGTCATATAAAGTTCAAAATCGGGGAAATTAAACAAGGTGTGTTTTAGGGATGCATATACAGGTGTTACAGCACCTGTGTTTTTAACACCATCCCCACTACCGTCTCCCTCCGGTGCTCTCCACGTCAGTCTCCCCGTCTCTCAAGCCGCCTTTCTTACTCTGATGCCGTTCCTCCAGCCCTCCCTCGTCCATCTGCTGGTCTTGCCCATGATCCTTACACTTGGTGCCATTTCATCGGGATGATCCTCAAAGCCTCCATTGTTTTTTATATTTGGACTCATCCGCCATATTTGAAGCTACAGAGGCAGTTACTTCCCTGCTGGGGGAATAACCTGAAACAATGTGTCAGGGACAAAAGAGTAATAGTGCAAGATTAGTGGAGTGAGCCCTGGACCTCCTTTACATAGATTGCTTTCACTGTTAGGACCAGTCTGTTTCATGCTTACTGTCAGGCACTGTGCTAAGTACTTTCCCTGCATTTAATCCTCACAGCAGCCCTATAGGGTAGGTATAGTAAAACCCGTTTTACAGATGACATAACTGGACCTTAGAGGAATTAAGTAGCTTCCTTAGGATCATAGAATTAGGAGGTAGCAGAGTGGGGACTTGAACCTGTGTCTGAACACTGCCCTGTACTCCCTTTTCTGCTTCGCCTTCCAGTAGCTTCTGTTTTTTTTTTTTTTTAAGATTTTTATTGGGGAATTGGGGGATGGGAACAGTGCTGGGGAATTGGGGAAGGGGAACAGACAAGTTGCTGTCCTTTTGTTCTTCAGTCTAGTTGTGGAGGACGTTGCTTCACTGGCCCAAGTTGGCACCATCATTGCGCTCTTCCCGGGTGAGGCACATCAGTCGCCGGCTTCTGGACGGCTGCTCACGCTGGCTGCTGGCTACTCAGTGTAGCCCATGGCAACCCACTGCCACAGGGGCTGCAGCCTACGCCGTCGCTGGCGAGTCACGGCAGCCCAGCTCCAGGTTGAGCTGTTGTTCAGCATCTTAGCTGTGGAGGGCAGTGTCACTGGCTCTCATATGTGGGATCCGAACCGGGGCCCTCCGGTGTCCCAGGCCAGCTCTTAACCAACGCGCCACTCGGCCAGCCCTCCAGTAGCTTCTTAATTACTGCTCTTCGTCATTTTTGGTTTGTATTTATTGGCAGGCAGAGAATACTAAAGAAGAAAATTGCCGCCCAAGCCCATATTTTGTTTGCTCCTATAAATGAGGTGTCTTATCTAGGACACGGCTTCCTTCCATCATCAGCTGGAATCGTTGACTGTTAGAGTCCTGAGGGACCTCAGGTCATCAGGAATTGATCCTGTTCAGGGGCTTGTGTAACTGCTCCCCTTCCCTGCTTTCTTTTGGTCTTTGGGAAACTGGAGCTTGTATTTCGTATGATGTGGATTCATGTAGACGGTGAAAAGTTGCCCGGAAAGAAGAGGTCAGACCTCAAACCCATGAAACCTCATTTTTGCAGTTCAGTCCAGATGAAGCTGTTACACTTTTAACCAGATGCTTTCCTGCACTCGGTGCTGCCAAGTGTGTTGTTTTATAAATATTTTTTAAGTCGGCTTCATTTCCTACCTTTGGAATACTCCCATTTTAATGGCGGACTTAGAATCCATGACGATGTTTGATAACCCTTAAATGCACCTTATAAAAAGGTGATTGAGGTACATCAGTAGATCGCAACCTTGGGTGCTTATCAGAATCACTTGCGGAGTGGAGATGTAAAATATTTTTCCCCCTTTGGTTATTTTGAGTCATTAAGTCTGAGGTAAGGCTTGGTCATCTGTATATTTAAAAAAGAAAAAAAAAAAGTCGCAGGTGATTCTGAGTTCCACAGAGACCGAGAGCCACTTACACCCACCATGCCCCTCCCAGGAGAGGTGTGGAAGGAAGTGGGGATTCCCAGAACTGGAGAGAATGCCTCAGACCCTACACAATGTGTCTCCTCTGCCCTTCACTCCTAATCTGACAGCGTGGACAACAGTGAGTACATGAGGAACGGGGACTTCTTACCCACGCGGCTGCAGGCCCAGCAGGACGCCGTCAACATAGTGTGTCACTCCAAGACCCGCAGCAACCCGGAGAACAACGTGGGCCTCATCACACTGGCCAAGTACGTGCGGCAGAGGGGGCGGGGCCTTGGCAGGTGGGTGAGGCTGGCCGCTTTTCTGGGCCGCTGCCTTCACTTTTCAGTGTAAATATAAAGAGTAACTTGTCATTCAGCTGAACTTAATACAGTTGTGAAGCCAAATCTCCTGGGGGAAAGTTTCATAGTTTTATTTTAAAGTCAGTGAAAAATGATTTGGGGTCAGAGCCCCAGAGCTTATATCACACATCCTTTAACCCCGAAAGTGTTGCTTTAGGAATTGATAATCCTCAAATGAGTAACCGCCCATCCCAGTATACATGTTGGCTGGAAAATGGGTCTAGAAATGGGGAGGGTGGGAGAGTCGAGTCCCACTGTTGTGAACGACTTTCGGCCCTGCGAGCAAGATAGTGGGAGAGGAGTGAGGGGCGGACACCGGGAGGAAGAGGGCCTGTTTTGTTCAAAATTAAGCACCCCTTAGTTCTGTGCCTCACATCTACTAAACACTAGATGTTTTTTTTTCCAGTTTTACTGAGATGTAATTGGCATATAACATTGTATAAGGTGTACCATAAAATGATTTTGTCGTGTATATACACTTGACCCTTGAACACACGGGTTTGAACTGCGCCAGTCCACATATATGCAGATTTTTTTCAAGAAATATATAGTTGGCCCTCTGTATCCCTGGGTTTCTCATCCATGGACTCAAACAATCGTGGATCAAGAGCAGTAGTTTTGATCTGTCATTGGGAATCGCAGGTGCGGAGGGCCGACTGTGTGCATTGTTTTAGGCCATATTATGTAGGACACTTGAGCACCCGCAGGTTTTGGTAGGTGCAGGAGTCTTGGAACTCATGCCCCACAGATACCGAGGGACTGTAGTTAAGGTTTTGGGGAGTCAAAGGTTATACATGGACTTTGGACTGCACTGGGGGGGGGGAGGTCAGCACCCCAACCCCTGCGTTGTTCAAGGGTCAACTGTATTTTGAAATGATTACCACAGTTCACATCAACATCTCACATAGTTATTTGTTTTTCCTTGTGATGGGAGGAATTTTAAGATCTCTCTAAACATGAGATGTTTGGTTAAGAAAAACAGAGATTACGGTTATGATCCAAGTCTCTAAAGAAAAGATGAGTTGAACAGAGTTTGGAGGCACTTGTCTTGACCTGAAGTCTCAGAAATGCTTTCCCCACATCCCAGTGACTGTGAGGTGCTGACCACACTCACCCCTGACACCGGCCGCATCCTGTCCAAGCTCCACACTGTCCAGCCCAAGGGCAAGATCACCTTCTGCACCGGCATCCGCGTGGCCCACGTGAGTCCTGGCCCTGAGGGTCTGCCTCCAACACCTTTCATTTCTCCTCTGCACTCGAGCTAGAACCAGAGCCAGGGAAGAGAGAGGACATAAAGAAGTGGAAAGGAAGTGGTGGGGTGAAGCCCAGGGTGGGTGAGGATTGTGAAGGGAGGTCCCTAGAATGCAGAGTGAGCCCCACTTCCTCACCCACAGCCAGCGGGGAGGGCAGAGGAGAGGGTTGGGCCATGTGTGAGCGTGACGGTGGGCTTGAGACTCATGGCAACGGTGGGAAGCAGTGCGACAGCAGAGAGTATGGGGCCTCTGGCTGACACTGGTCCGTCGTCCTCCTGCACAGCTGGCGCTGAAGCACCGACAGGGCAAGAACCACAAGATGCGCATCATCGCCTTTGTGGGGAGCCCCGTGGAGGACCACGAGAAGGATGTGAGTCTGGCAGCGCACGTGGGTTTCTGCCTTGGGGACAGGGGGACCCGGGGAGGCCAGCTGACTTCTGTGCGCTTCTGTGAGGTGTGTCACTCCCTGCGGGATGGACCAGCCTTCCTCATCTCTCTCCTCTTCTTCCCAGCTGGTGAAACTGGCTAAACGCCTCAAGAAGGAGAAAGTAAATGTTGACATTATCAATTTTGGGGAAGAGGTGAGTAAGGACTGGTTCTGGGCCGTCCTTACCCAGAGGATAGCCTGTACCGCAGGAGGGGCGCTGCAGACAGGACTGAGGGCGGGGAGCGGGGAGCGGGCCGGGAGGCAGACCTGTGGTCCTCCCTCCCCCAGGAGGTGAACACAGAAAAGCTGACGGCCTTTGTGAACACCTTGAATGGCAAAGATGGAACCGGCTCTCATCTGGTGACAGTGCCTCCTGGGCCCAGCCTGGCCGACGCCCTCATCAGCTCTCCAATTCTGGCTGGGGAAGGGGGTGCCATGCTGGGTCTTGGTGCCAGTGACTTTGAGTTTGGAGTGGATCCCAGCGCTGATCCTGAGCTGGCCCTGGTGAGCAAACATGGACCTCACACGGAGCCCAAGGGTCCTCCTTTGTCCTCTGCTGACACACCCGCACGCCACATAGCCTCTCGAGGGCTACGCAGCCCTTAGCACCCTCGCCCACCTTCCCAGACGCCCGTGGGTCCTCTGCCCCATAATTCTGTCTGATCTCTAGGGTGCCAGTGCCAGGCTCTCGTTCGCGTCTCCTGGTCACACCGCACGTTTCTTTCAGGGCCGTCCTTTAGTCCTGCGTCACCTCTTTGGCTTCTTCCCCATATACGTAGGGCAGAAGCTGCCCCATGTGCTGCTTCCCCCACCCCCAGCGGACTTCCCCAGGGCTGAGGGGGGAGCGGGTCCAACCTGTCTCCGCCCTTTGCCAGGCCCTTCGCGTTTCCATGGAAGAGCAGCGGCAGCGGCAGGAGGAGGAGGCACGGCGGGCAGCTGCGGCGTCTGCCGCGGAGGCCGGGATTGCTGCGACTGGCACTGAAGGTGATGGGGTGAAATCTGGGGTCCCGGGACCGCAGGGCGCTTGCTCGGTGGGAGTGGGAGGTCTGCAGTGTGGGGGATAATGGGCTGAGGGTGTGGTTTGGGGGTTCTGTGGAACATGGCACCAGTCCTGCTTTGCCGCCCTCTCCGTTTCCCAGACTCAGATGACGCCCTGCTAAAGATGACCATCAGCCAGCAGGAGTTTGGCCGGCCCGGGCTCCCGGACCTAAGCAGTATGACTGAGGAGGAGCAGATTGCGTATGCCATGCAGATGTCTCTCCAGGGTGCTGGTGAGTGGGGCCTGGGTGGCTGTGCTTGGGCCCAGGGCCTGGGGTGGGAGTGGCACTGAACAGACTGACCTCTTTTCCTCAGAGTTCGGCCAGGCGGACTCAGCTGACATTGACGCCAGTTCAGCCATGGACACATCCGAGCCCGCCAAGGTGAGGGCCGGTGACGGCTCCCTGCCCCCATCAGGCTTGAAACCCCCTGTGTTCCGATCTCAGCCCTCTCGGCCTGGGACGTTTCTCTCCCGGGCTCACAGATGAGCTCTGAGGAGCAGAAGGAAACAGACAGCTGGCTGTGTGTTTCTTGTGTGTCAACTTTGCAAAGGCTGCAGAATACTGGTAGTCAGAGCTGGGGAAGTATCCTAGTATTCTGTAAGCTCCCTTGCTGGTGGGAGCAGTCTGGATAGTCTGTAGGACATCATCCTCCCAGGAGAGTGAAAAAGAAAACGGGAGCGGGTGTCTGCTGGAGGATACCTGGACGTGATTGCGTCTGTTTCTACCCTCTGAGCTCAGGAAGCAAAGCACTCGGGCTTCTTCCTGCTCGGTCAGTAATCAGTGTTTGCATTCGTACCACATATAGGCACTGGGTGTTTCCTGAGTCTCCCTTCCTGCCCTTGGCCGAGGTGCCCGAACCCCAGACAGTCGGGCGGGGAAAGGGGCTCAGGCACCCGCATGCGCACTGCTCACACTCGCTCCCCACCCCCCCACCCCGCCTGAGCTGCCACTGCCCTTTTTCAGGAGGAGGATGATTATGACGTGATGCAGGACCCCGAATTCCTTCAGAGTGTCCTGGAGAACCTTCCAGGTGTGGACCCCAACAATGAGGCCATTCGAAATGCCATGGGCTCCCTGGCGTCCCAGGCCACCAAGGATGGCAAGAAGGACAAGAAGGAGGAGGAGAAGAAATGAGACTGGAGGGCAAGAATAGCTGAGCCTGCTCAGGGCTGCCCTGGTGGGCGGGACACAAGGCTAGATAGGTTGGTTATCTGTACCATTTAAGCTAAATAAAGCTGTCAACTTTTTTTTTCTTTTTTTTTTTTTTCTTCAAATAGTGGTTGCTTTGGGTGAGAGGGAGGCTACATGGCATGAAAGACGGCCTCCCCGGTTGAGTTCTCTGTGTCTGCAGTACCTGGGCTCTGACTCCTGACTTGCTTACCTTCCTCCTGTCTCCATCACTGACTCCATAACCGCAGTCCCTCCTTACTTTTCTCCTGCCCGGGAGCTATTTTACTTTGGCCTCAAGAGGAGCTTTGCTGAGAGTCACTGTGTTAGGCACCAGGGCCACAGAAGTGACAGAGTCCAGGCCAGGGCCAGAACGTAAAAGAGCAGTTGCACATGCCTGCTAAGTATCCAGAGGCACGAGCAAGGGCCGAGGCTCACAGCCTCTGGGAAGCCTCCTGGAGGCGATGTTTGAGCCCTCAAATGACAGAAAGTTCATCAGCCAATGAGGAAGAGATGGGGGTGCTTCCAGTCAATAGGAACAGTATGTGCTGATGGCCTGGAGGTGGTTTGGAGGAACTGAGGGGCACAGAGACTGGTCGGGTGAGCAGCAGGAAACAGATGGGGGAGCAGGCAGCAGTCATCACAGATCTGGAATCCTCGACGCCCAACTGACAAGGTGGGGTCTGAAGCCTCTGGATAAACATGCTTCTTGGAGCACCAAATTTAGAGGAAGGATGTTTGTATACTGGAATAAAATGCAACATTCACATGACCCCCCTCGGCTTACCTATTTAAAGGGGTAATAATACTTGACACATAAAGTACTTAACCTATATATAAACGGTGAAGCATAAAAACAAAATGAGTATATCTGAAGCCACTCAAATGTAATGACCGAGTGCCGATACCCCGTGGACCCACCTCGCCTTTCTCCTCAGAGAACTCGCACCCTGGATTTTGTTTATTGTTTTGTTCCCAGTTTGCTCATATACATGAGTTTTGCTAGTTTTTGAGCTTTATAAAAAAGTTTTATACTGTGTGACTTCTGGGACTTGGATTTTTTTAACAAACGTTTCATTTCTGAGGTTCATCAAAGTTGTTGCATGTAAGGTGTTTGTCCATTTCTCGTGGTCGTCTAGCATTGCGTTCTGTGACTAGGCTACAATCTGCACTTCCCTGCTGATGGACATCTGCTTGGTGCCAACTACTCTTCTATTATCAACAGGGTTACAGTGGAGTGTTTTGTTTGCTTTTTTGTTTTTTTAAATCTCCCTTGATAACACCTGTGCAAGAGTTTCTCTAGGTGCTTTACAGGATAATGCCACGTTGTTTTTCAAAGTGATCCTACCAGTTTGCATTCCTGCAGTATAAGAATTCCTACCACCACATCGTTCCCTTTGCAGCCCTTGGTATTGTTACTGTTCCGTAAGGCTCCTTAATTTCTGCCCATCTAGTGAGGATGAAAGGATAACAGTGTGGTCTTGACCTGTACTTCCCTGATTACTGATGAGATTGAGCGTCTTTTCATCTATTTTTAAATAGGTCTTGATATTTCCATGTTTGTGAAATGTCTCTTCATGTCTTTTTATCCATTTTTCTATTGGGTTGTCTCTTTATTGATGTTCTGTACGAGTTCTTTATTGTTGATACTGTCTTTTTTTTTTTTTAAGTTTTGGTTTTGTTTTTTTTTAATTGGGGAACAGTGTTTTTCCAGGACCCATCAGCTCCAAGTCAAGTAGTTGTTTCAATATAGCTGTGGAGGGCTCAACTCAGTGGCCCATGTGGGGATCGAACCGGCAACCTCGGTGTTATGAGCTCTGTGCTCACCAACTGAGCTAACGGGCCGTCCTGATACTAATTCATTATTGGTTCTATATGCTGCAAACACGTTCTCCCCGTTTGTGACTTGTCTTTTCACATTCTAAAAGGTGTCCTTCAGTGAACGAAATTCTCTGTCACATTTCTCAATATATTCTTTCGAGGTTAGTGATTCTTGTGTCCAGCAAATTCTTCCAGAGGTAGAGAGAAACTGTTTTCTTTTTAAAGTTTTATGGTTTTGTTTTTCTGTAATGGAAAAACTCAGATTTTTCCTTCGTGAGTAGGGAAAAGCCCAGTTCTTGCCCACTGTGTTTGTCTCCCAGGGGTCTCTTGTACCACTCACACAGAACACTTCTGTCACTTCTGGTCACCAAATGTGTGGGTATTTTCCCCACACCAACAAGCAATTCTTGGACACCAGCTGGGTGTCCAAGAGTTCAACTCCATTCTGACACTGTGTACACGGAAATAGTGTCAGATTCCACAGGTTAGGGGCTCAGTCCCATAAGACTGCCCCCTCCTTTTACATGCCAATCACAAGACCAGGTTGCCACCTGTGCTTCTGACCAACTGGCCTGAGATTGGAGGCTCCAATGACCCCTTCCTTGGGTTTTATTTATTTGCTAGAGTGGCTCATAGAACTCTGGAACACAGGTTTACTGGTTCATTAAAGGATGTGATAAGGATACAGGTGAATATTTAGGTGCAGAGATGCGTAGGGCAATGTATGAGGGAAGGGGCGGGGCTCCCATCCCTCTCTGGGCCCACTCCCTGCACCTCCACGTGTTCAACCCAGAAATCCCCTGCAGCCGGTACTTTTGGGACCTTAGGGAGGCTTCTTCACATAGGCATGATTAATTATTAACTCCATTTGCAGCCCTCTCCCCTCTCTGGAGAAGGGGGTGAGAGGGGCTGAATATTCCAAGCTAATCATGGTCTTTCTGGTGACCAGCCCCCATTCAGGAGCCCATCCAGAGTCACCTCATTAGAATAAAGATGTAAAGATGCTCCTACTTAGGAAATGACAAGTGTTTCAGGAGCTCTGTGCCAGGAACCGGGGCCAGACACCAATACATATATTTTCTTTTGTCACACACATTCCCATAGAAATTCCTTATTCCATCTAGAAGTGATTCAATCTCAACTTTCTAATATGGAAAAGCACATTGGTTAAAGCACTGTTTGCTGAGCTATGGCGTCTTTTCCCAGTGATCTGCAGTTACTCCTGCCTGGGCCAAGGTTCTGTGAATTTCATTTCCAGTATCCCAAAGTCAGACCCTAAAGCCCAAATGTAATCAAGGTTCCCCAGAATGAAGCTAGAAGCATACTTGGTGCTTCCATTATTATCTGGATTCCATTTCTGAATGATAAATTTGTAGATCCTTGTGTCTCAATTTTTTAGGAGATTAGTATTGGTTTGAATCACATATTACTTGAAAGAAGTGGCCCATCCTTTGGGCTTGGGAATCTTTTGTAGGACAGTGGTCACTTTGGCTTTCCTGGGCCTGGGTGTGGTTCCCCAAGCAAAATCATGTTTTGGCAGAGCCTGCCCATCAAGTAATGACAGGACTTGTGTCCCAGTCTCCTGGTCCCCTCCATGCCAACTGGGTGACTTCAGTGTTCATGAGGGTGACTCAGCCAGTGGCTTGGCCTCTTCCAGTTCAGAGATCTCACCATCACAGCTCACTTTGTCACACAGCCACACCCTGGCTCACGTCCATCCTTAAGAAATGCTCCCTGCTGAAGTCAAATATTTACTTGGCCCATGGGCCCCCGTCTTCTCCACTATCCCCCTTGGATATTCCCTGCACACTTTGCAACAGTAACTGTGAAGAAATCTGTGTACAGTCGGGCACCACTAACATTTCAGACAGTGATGGACCGCATCTGCAGTGGTGGTCCCAGGAGGTTATCATGAAAAATTCCTGTTGCCTAGTGACACTGTAGCCTTTGTGACGTCATGGTGCAATGAATCACATTTTTGTGGTGATGCCGGTGTAAACAGACCTACTGTACTGCCAGTCATATAAAAGTACAGCACATACAATTATGTACAGTCCGTAATACTTGATACTGATAATAAGCTACTGTTACTTGTTTATGCATTTATTGTACTATACTGTTTATTGTTATTTTAGAATGAACTCTTATCTACCTATAAAAAAAGTTTGCTATAAAACAGTATGCCATATTATGTCATCAGCTTCACATCTCATGTTGTCTGCATCTCTTGATGGCATCATTTTCTCTTGTGCCTGATTTCATCTCGTGTTGCTTTGTATGGTGACATGCTGTACAGGCTTGTAGCCCAGGAGCAGTAGGCTGTCCCATACAACCTAGGTGTGCAGTAGGCGACACCATCGAGATCTGTGTGTGTGTGCACGCTGTGATGTTTGCACGACGAAAATTTCTCAGAACGCACCTGTGTCATTAGGCAGTGTGTAACTGTGGTCTTTGGGTAATTCCACATTAGGAATTTAAATAATCAAAGACATGGAAAAGACATATATAAGCTTGTTGAAAAACATGGGAAACAACCTAATACCAATTATGACACATTACTATGGAATAATACCATAAATTCCACATTTATTTTGGAAAAACACTTCATGACATTGGATATCTGATTGTAATATTAGCTAATACTTACATACCATATGTATCAGTTACTGTTCTAAATGCTTTCCAAGTTTTAGATCATTTAGTTTTCACAACAACCCTGTGAGGTAGCTGGAGCATTATTAATCGTTTTTTTTTTTAAAGATTTTATTGGGGAATTGGGGGAGGGGAACAGTGTTGGGGAATCGGGGAAGGGAACAGACAAGTTGCTGTCCTTTTGTTCTTCAGTTTAGTTGTGGAGGATGTCGCTTCACTGGCTCATGTTGGTATTGTGATCATTGCGCTCTTCCCGGGTGAGGCAGTCATTCACTGGCCATTGGACGGCCACTCCCGGCAGCCCCCGGCAGCTCATGCTGGCTGCCAGCCACACATGATAGCTTATGCACACACTGCAGCCTACACCGTCGCCGGCGACTCACGGCAGCCCAGCTCCAGGTCAAGCTATTATTGACCATCTTAGCTGTAGAGGGCAGTGTCACTGGCCCTCATGTGGGATCTGAACCCAGGCCCTGCTGCTCAGAGCTGGTGTCCCAAGCCAGCTCTTAACCAATGCGCCACTCGGCCGGCCCTTAATCCTATTTTATAATTAAGGGAACTGAAACCCAGAAATGCTAGGTAGCTTTACTCTATGATGATGGTTCTG